AAATGGAAAAAAAGTCAAAATGATATTTTAAAATTTTCAAAATTTTAAAATATTATATAGAGGTCGCCGTCTTGAAAAAATGGCGTTTTTTACCCTTTTTTCAACTTTAAATTTAAGTTACTTAAAAAATAATTAATTTAATTTTATGTTACCTCGTGTGTATAATAAAGGCTATCGGATAAACATTTGGCCAAATTTTCAAAAATGTTGGGTAATGTCTAGAGGTCGCCAAATTATAAAGTTTTATTTCTTCAACATATTTTTTTGCTTAAAAATTGCTTAAATGCTTTAAAAAAACGTCACCTTAAATAAAATGCATAATTTATGTTTTGAGCTTAATTGACCACTAAAAGTTGTTGCGTGATTAAATAGTTTGAAAAATAAACATCTCGGCGTATGTATATAAATTTCATAAACTTATAAAAAAAATTTGGTTCATATATTAATTAGCAAAATTAAAATTTTAAATCAATTTTAAAACTAGTTGGATAAGCGAATAATTTATTATAATGATGAACCCTAAGAAAAAATAATCAAGATTGGTAAATTGATTACCCTGAATCCAATAAATTATCAAGTTTCAGTCGTCTACCAACAAAAAAAACAAGTTTTGGGTAGATACTCTTATTTTCATTTTTATTCAAAAGGCGACACTTCTGCGAGGGATATTTTTAAACTTGTTCTTGGTGAGCTTAAGGAAGTTTGGGAAAAAGTACCAATTCGATCACATAACTGTTGTACCAATCAGTACCAATTCGATCAGATAACTGTTGTCTTTCATTGCTTACCAAATTGTTTGTGGAAGAGGTGAAAATAAAAAAAATTATTTATTTATATAAATCCTATGTATATTTTTTATTTTTGTATTCAAAGAAACTAACTTAAGTTTTATTTGCAGGCCGAAACTTATTGGTGTACCTTTGATTAAAGATTCGACAGGTAAAACTCAATGTGACAACTGCTATGAAAAAGCTGTGAAACTTGTGCAAGATTGGAACATTTTGTAAAACATTGTTGGTATATGCTTTAATTCAACAGCAAGCAACACATGTAATAAAAAAGGAGCAGTACCTTTAATTGAAATTGAGTTATAGAGACCTCTCCTATGGCTAGCATGTCGCCATCATCATAATGAGCTAAACATGCTTTACCGCATTACGAGGAGGTAGCAAAAGTCCAGATGAACCTATTTTTAAACGTTTCCAAGCCGAATTTTCTAGAATTAATATTGATTACTCAAACTTTGATTTTTTGAATGGCCTACTGATATTAAATCATAAATATTTAATCAAGCAAGTTTAGTTCTGAAACGGGCTCACCAATGCCTCGAAGAGAAAATATTTCCGCGAGAAGATTATCTTGAGTTAATTGAATTAACTATTATCTACCTTGGGGGAAAACTATCAATGAACAGAATATTCAAAATTCACAAACCAGGTGCAACTCACAATGCAAGATTTATGTCACATTCTATATATTTTTTAAAAATCGAACTCTTATCTAATAAATTTATTATGTCCAATAATGAGCAAATTATGATCCACCGCATGGCTATTAAGTCTTTTTTAAGTTTATTAAGTCTTTTTTTTTCGATGCAATTTTTCCGCTCTAGGATTTCCGTATTTGCTCCAGTTGATGACTTCAAATTTTTTGTTGCAATGAACTGGTATCAAGAAGAAGATTCAGATATCGCAACCGCTGTGATTTCGTCGATTAACCGTCACCTTTGGTATTTAACAGAGGAACTTGTTATTTTATCTTTATTTAAAGAAAAATTGTCATAATTTACCGGAACAATAATGGCAAAGAAACTTTTTTCTACCCCAAGACCAAAAACACTTTTAATTGGGAAACCAAAATTTCCGACATTAAATTCTTCAACCTTTATTTATTTTTTTGATTGGACCACGGTCGTGGCTTCTTTTTGGTTTATTAGGACTAATAAACAACCAGGAATGGTTCCAGATGAATCCACAAAAGTGGAAATTCTTCCAAGATTATCGAACTGCAGAAAATTTTGTTAAACTGATTTTGTTAAAATGATTGCGCCGAAAGAGGAATCAAACTTATTGGTGATTTCCGCAAGTGTGCGCAAAATGAAGAACAACGACAATTTATTTTTGGAAGTTGTTGAACAACACAGAAAGCAAAACCCATCTTATTTGAAATCAAAACTAATTAATACTTTATAGTATTTTTTATATTACTATTATCTTCTTTATTAATTATTATTCTTAGAAAAGCTAAAGCCTAAAAATAACCTAGTTGAATTTTTTTTTTTAAGATTTAAAAAAATAAAAAGTTTTTTAGCTTTATATTTTAATACTGCGACCTCTAGATTGATCAATTTTTATGAAAATTTCACCAAATGTTTATCTAATAACCTTTGATATATACACCCAGAAACGTAACATAAAGTTAATTACATTTTAAGTTAATCAAGTTTAAAGTTAAAAAATATATAAAAAACGCAATTTTTTTAAGATGGCGACCTCTAGATGACATTTTAAAATTTTGTAGACTTTTTGATAAGTATACTAAGAATAATTAGTATACATTTTAATAAGTATAATTGTTATTACCACATTATTTATTATTTACATTATTTACCCCGTTATGCGTGTAACGTAACCATTTTTGAAAAATTGTCGGAAATGAAACAACCTATTGCCGCACAGCGGTTCTTGATGATAATATCAAATTGTGTTTTGCATGTAATCATTAGTTAAGAACTGAAAATTTAAAAAAAAAAAAAAAAAAATTTAACGCCGAACTTTCTTCCATCCAATCTGTTTATAGTTTGAAATTTGACTAAGGTCATTTAATGTAATCAGACTGTAACTGATACAAACATAGAAGCAAAACCAATGAGAATGTTCAAATCTTGGAGAAGGGAGGATAATCTTCCTCTAAAATTTCCAAAATTTTGTTGAGATTCACAGAGAAATGCAGTTTGATTATTCTGGCATTCGTGGAAAAAAAATTCATATTATATATTTAAAAATCTGACTCTAACTGACTATAACTTGAAAATCCCCATCTTTGAGTGTATGGGGAATAAACACGGGTATTTTACAGGGGGTTTGGGTATCACATTACTTACAACCCTCCGTAAAATCGCCCCTGCAAGAACCTCTCCTTCGTAAACAGAAACATGCCGTCGAGTGGTTAATTTTAAAAAAAGAACATTAAAAACCTTTTTTTTAAAATTTAAAATAGTAAAATGCAAAAGGTCTTCTAATTTTTTTTTATATAAAAAAGTCTGAATAGTTACTGATTTTTTTTCTAAATTTATCCATTGCTATATATACAATTTTTAAATTTTAACATATATAAACATATTTGAATATTGGATTAGCAATAAATGTGTAAATAGTTTTTAAAAAGTACGATAAATATATTTCAAGTATATTTATTTATTTGGCATTGGGAAAATATATTTATTTATAAATATGCATGGCACAAGGCAACAATCTCTAAAAGTCTCCACTGGCGAGAGTGTAATTAACGAAAAAAGAACATTTTTTTAGGTCACTTTACTGTAGGATTACCTTTTCTAATAAGTAAAGTTGTTTTTTTATAAGTTTCAATTTACAATTATAACAAAATTTAAATTATACTAATTTAAATTTTGTTTTCTAGCAAGTATACAATTTGTATACTTGCTATACTTGTATACTTCTAGCAAGTATAAAATTTGTATCATTGCTAGAAAGTCTACAATTTGTATACTTGCTAGAAAACAAAATTTAAATTAGTATAATTATTAGAAAACAATTATACTTATTAAAATGTATACTAATTATTCTAAGTATACTTATCAAAATGTAAAAAAACAAATATTCTTAGTATACTTATTTTTATACCATTGTAATAAAATAATCATACAGTAAAGCGACCTAAAATAATTTTTTTTTGCTAACTGCGCTCTCGTCAGATGTGACTTTTAAAGATTGTTGCCCTGTCAAACCCTCAGTCGATGTTGCGGCACTTCCTTGCAGCAGCAGGCTATAAGATATTTGTTGTATATGCTGAAACAAATATTCCTTTATGTTTAAAAAGTTGAACGAGATAATACGGCACAATAAGGAAAAGGTTAGGCCGCCTAAATTTAGGATTACCCCGTAATGTAAACTGAAGCGAGTCTTGATGATAAGGCCATTATGGATGTTTCCCGCGTTCTCTTTAAAGTGTTACAATGAAGTTTATTTATTATTCATGGGAAACCACTTTGTGACTTTTTTGTTTTCATTTTCATTTGTGATTGCTAAGGGGTCGTCCATAAAGTATGTGCGCTTTTTTGCCCCCCCCCCCGCGTGCGCAATTTGCCGTAC